ACACACACAAACCGCGCCCTACTAAGTATTTTTATAACCCGTTCTTATGGTGAAAATCACAAGGATATATTACAGAAATTTATCAAGAATGAATCTAAACAACCAATGCAAGAAAGTATTAAATGGGCATCAGATGGAAACAACTTACCAATAACGCTCATAGATACATCAGCTCATCATCACCATAGTTCCGTGGACTGAAACAGGCTTAAATGTAGCGACATGGATAGTGAGACTTTAAATAGCCGATCCCAATTTCTTGGGATACGGCGTAGTTGTTGTTTCAACTTCATTCTCGTTGACAATACTGTCGCAAAGATGTAAAGGAAAGGATCCTTCATTTCTTTCTGATACATTTCTCTCACTTATATATATATTTTTGTGATGTTCAAGGGATAATATAGACGAGTGAATACATCTACTAGGAACAAGACTAATAAGGATTCGACAGCCATTACCTACATTGAGAATTCAGGAGATTGAATATATGAGCAATCATCTTTAAAAGATTTACAACTTGGTTCCACTTGTTTGACTAGACTTCTCTTTTCTTCTACATCAAACCTGTGAAGGAAAATGAATAGGGTAGTATTTTCCACGATATGGAAAGCGAGCACTACTATATATGAACCACCTCGTTTCTTTGCTTGTATTTAAGAGTGAATGCTAATCTAATATGTTTGCTAGCAAATCAGTGAAAACTAAGTATGATTGTTCTTTGATACAACACTAGGAATGCTGAATATAGAACACAAGTTTGTTTTTCTTTGTTTATGATTTAGCAACAAAAAATTCTGTTTACATATGATTTTGATATGACAAATGTGAGTCCAACAACTTTGTTTCTTCTTTTCCTGTTAGGGTATTGTTACTAATCTAATCTTAGATTCTCTTTCTTACATTTTCACATTCTTTGCATTTTACTCGCGTACGAGTAGAGTCATCTGAATGCTTACCTATGGTCTCTTAAGGTATTTTTGTTGATATATAAGGAATAGCCAGTATGATGAAAAGGAAAATAATCTGCAAACAAATCGAGAAATGAGGAAAAAATTATTTATTGCAGAAAGCTATAAGTGTAATGTAATGCATGAACTAAATATCAGCATAAAATCTCACGAGAACCTGAATATAGTAATTAGGCTGACGGCTGAATATGCAAGATTTCCTGGTGATAGATAAAGTCATCAACTGATTTTGACAAAAAATTCCAGAAAAGATAAACAAGAAAACATAACAAACCTTTGATTCAAGGTTCCAGAGTCTCTGCAGGTTTTCAAGATTGCTTCAAGCCTCTTCAAAGTAGTCGTTGCATTTGGATCATTATGGTCAACCTGAAAGAACCGATTAAAGAATCAATTTTTTAACATAAAGAAGAACCATAGTCAAGCTTTGAACATCTTCGGCTTCATAGATCAGATTGACAAATTTAGAATTTTACAAACTAGCTTTTCATCGGGCAACTCTAGAATGAGTAAGTCACAACTGCATGCAGAGTTAAACTTGTCCTGAGAATGGTGAGCAATATATACCTTGGATTCCATTATACGACAAAAGTCAAAGAAAGCTCTGTAGACATCAGCCATTGTTCTTGTCTGATCAATAACCTTAGCACATAGGCCTACAAAGAAGAAACCAAAAAAAAAAAAAAAAAGACTTAATGTTAACATGCATACTGAGAATCATGTATATTACCTTGTCCAATTGAAATTATATATTGAGAAGACGTGTATCTTTACCTCGTCTCATTTCTACAACACCTTTGAAAACTTCAATGTTGTTGTAGTACATCGTCAAGTTCCCCATATTTATGATCTGGTAGTATAAGAAAGCACCGTAAAGGCAATGAATGCTTCAAGAAGGATTACTTAACATGAACAAAAGTAATATTTCTGCAAGTATGAAAGTTATTGTAATACACCATATATGGAATGCATATGTTTCATGGCAACAAGACAATTACAGTGCAAATTGAATGATTTACTAAAGTGTAAGCTTAAAGTGAGTTTGTTTACACTTTCCAGAACGCGTTCCATTCTCATACACACACCAATATGAACTGTTCAAGGAAAGTTTATACCTGGGGAATTGCACAGAAGTGAAAGATAACAGGATCTTGTAAATTAGACATGTAAGTCAGACAATCCTCTGCATGCGATAAAGCATTAGTGACCATTTCATTCAGACATTGTACTGCCTTGACCGAGTTTTCCTCATACTTAAAGTCCTGAGGCAGATAAAGAAGTGAACCAACATATGAACTTCAAACAAGGAATAGCACTTGTTATGATGAAATCAAATGAATTCTACAACATCTTTAAGGAAAAGACGACAAACCTCATTTCAAACAAAACTAACCTCAAGTTTGTTAACATATTTACTCCAAATTTGACGGGGCCAGAACATACGACACTTGGGTACTTCATTTATGTCCTCTAGATAATCTCTAATAATGCTTATTTTCTGAAATATATTTCCAAATATCAAAGTTTTTTGAGGACTGCTAAACATGCATGTTAGGGCCAATACAATACCTGAAGAAATAAACCCATAGAAATGGAGAGGGATTCTGGTGCTAAATCTTCTCTTCGAGAAGCATAAAAAAGATTTGACAAGCCTAATCCACAAAGTCCAGCTGCATAATGACAATATTCATTATAATCATCGAGTGTTTCTACCTGCATGAGACCAGATGGCTTGTAAGTGAAATGCACGAGGGTTAAAGTATGCAGGGACACCCTTAGACATCATAAAAGTGGCGCTTTCATAAGGCATACATGCTTTAAAAATTCTAAATTAGAATGATGACTAGCCATTGAAATTACCAATCAAAAGAACAAGACTAAAATGAAGATAACCAAATATCAAGTATTTCTCATCTGTCGATACTGTTTAGTATTGTTTCTTTTTTCTCCAGATACGTAGAAGATGACTCCAAAATGACAAAACGTGCAATTCATGGTTTTCTTTATATTGTTCCTCAAAACATGTAGACGATATGCAGGTATATAAATTATTACTAGCAGAAATACTAATAACAAATTCATTGACTGAAACTTGAGTAAAGCTGCAGATGTCAAAGTCAAATTTGCTGGTACAGCACTGAGAAGACAAATGCACATTAGACATGTTCATCATCATAATTAATGTGTTAATATATATCCTGAATCACCTCCTTGCATAGAAATTTTGCCATTCCTTCACCCATCCTCTTGGTAATATCCTTAATCACCTCCTGATAACTGCAAAACATGTAGAACGTTCATTCACAAATACTCGCATGCAATTATAAAACTATTGTTCTGATTTTGACTTCAAACTATGATTCCGGATTGAGTTCACGTAGGGGACACATCAGTAAGTCTGTAGTTAGACTGTTCAGTATCACCACATGAAACTGAGCAAATATCTATGAAGCACACCTTTTTGATTCGTATAAATCTCCCGGAATATTTTACAGTTACATCTTAATATGCAACAATATATTAATACCAGAAAAGTAAAAATCTTTTGTAAGAACTAACTTTTTATCAAGCTCCAGGAAAGCAGTGGAAACATGATGGAATTGGTCCATGAGAACCTTGAAGGCCTTTGTACCACCTAATAAATAACAACAAGTATAAGGCAACTAGTCTTGAAAACTTCACATAAATATCATAAAATAAGAAAAGAAAAGACTCAATTAATATATATAGAAGAGAAGTAGGAAACAATAATGAAGTGGGAAAAACTATATCTTGAAACGAAATTAAAGTGAGATAATATCCTCTAAAGTAAATGTACAATGCTAATTATTTCTTTTGTACAACTGATACTATTATGCATTGAATTTACACTCTGCCGTAGAGTCGTAACTAGGATTTGAAGCTTATGAGTTCGACATCCTAATCCTTTTACGTAACTGACTTCTAAATTAACATATATATCAAATGAATTTTATGCGATAAATACAAGGTTTGAACCAAAACTACTGGGTTCGATTGAACCCGTAGCCGACACTTTAGCTCCGATCCGCCCCAGTGTAAAAGTTAAAGTATTTAAGCAATCAAATCCCTTATAAAGCAATAACAAATTATTTTTTTGATAAGAATTAATTGGAAACCTTATAATTAATATAGTGTAAAAGGTTTTATGAAGAAGAAAACCAAGAACCAAAAGCTTGTCCAAATGGAGCCTCTTTAATTACAAAAGCAAGAATAACAAAGTTGAGTGAATAACACAACTTAAAGCAACTAACACTCACATGAAAACTGCCATTGACGATCATAGAAGTGGCAGTAAAAGTTTCTCAAGATGGGTACTCTAACTTCAATAGCTAAGCTGGTATCATCCTCTGTCAATTAGAAGGAAAAAAATAATTAACATTCTAAATCAACCAATAGAATAATGGATTAGAATTCCTACAGTATATTCATGAAATTAAACTGACAAGAGATTATGGAATCGAACTCACCAACAGTGTCAAGTGCTCGAAGAACCAAATAGTAAACGCAAACCTGCAGAGTTGGACGGAAGTTTACAAGACTCAAACTTCACAAGAAAATAACACGGCTAATTTTTATGTATGATTATTCACTTTTACTTTATTGCACTAACATTAGAAACTTATTTACCTTTACTTTTTAGGTTTTAACTTAATTACTAGTTGATATACAATTTACCAGTTATATACAAATAAGTTGTAAATGAATATCCTTGATTGTAGCCTTTTAATGTGGAAATCAAATTCCGCAAATCTTCTATAAATCTCTCTCCTCAATCTCTCTATTTTCTTTTTTCTGCCCGACTTCTTCTTCTTTGGATCTCTATGATTCACCATCGAACCAGTCGTTATCCATTGCCCGCTAGCCATTGAGCCTTCAAAAGCTTCGAAACTTTGATTTGAATTTGATTTTTATAAAATTATTATTTATTTTGATTGGGTGTTGTTACGAACGATCGGGAATATTCTTTCGAGTTTACATCTCAATTTTAAGAGTTTTTGGTGAAGATTATAGTTGAGTTTGGATGAATTTTCAGATTGAAACTCGAAGATATATTAAAGTTATATTATAATTGTATGTAAATTTTATTTAAGTTTGTTCTGTTATAGTTATATTTTTTTTATTCGAATGTTGTATGAAAGTTGAAAAATAGTTATATAATATATGAACCATTGTTTGAAATTTGTATTTAAGTTATAATACTTTCTTTTTACATAAAATTGTTAATATGTATCAAAATTATATCAAGAGAGAAAACTTTGATTAGAATTTCAGAGAAGAAAAAGAACACATCGCATACAAAATACATATAAACCATATAACGTATACAAAATACATAACGACATATTTGTATAAAATCTGTATTTAAGTTATGATGTTGTAGTTATTTTTAACTGGATAAAAATAATGCATGAAAGTTGTAGATAAATTATAAATAAGTTGTATACTATATAATTAGTTGTATAAAATTTATTTTTAGTTTATGTATCGTTTTAGTATCAAATTTGTATTGAGAAGAGTATTGATGTCATGCCTATAATATAAGATTGTAATGCATCTTGACATTTGGAATATCATAAATTTTGTCATTTAAAGAAGAAGAATATTTTTGATTAGTCCAATTAAGTGGATCAAGCACCAAAAAATTATCCAAATTGTCAAACGAATGAACTATATTCCATTTATTGATTTTAATCTCCACTTCACCAATAACTCTAACGTGCAATCCGATGAAGCACTACAGAACAAGTTCCTCCGAAAAGAAAGAAGGTGTAATTGCATCCCATAATTTAAGGTCCTAATCATAGATTATATATGGAGAGAGGCGGTAGAGAATAGGGAAAGAGAAAAAGTGTAACTGAATCCCCTAATTTAAGGCACTAATAACGGATTGTATATAAATTATAAGGAATCCTTGTTTAGGGTGGGTAATATTCAAAATTAAGATAATTTTGATAAATAAGTTTCAAATATTGTATAGGAACGAAAAAATCTCAAAAAATTATATTAAAAGAAGAGCAGCCCAGTGTACGAAGCATCACGCGTTCACGCAGGCTCTAGACAGAGGCAGAGCCACATTATCGGCTGAACTCAGTAGCATTGGTTCAAATCATGTATTTGTATTAACATTTTCATTAAATATATAGTACAAATTATTAATTTGGAACCCATTAACTTAAAAAGATTAAGATTCCAAACCTATAAGCTTGAAATCCAAGCTCTGTCCGGAGAAGGGCCGTCCTAAAGGGGTGTGATGTAGGAATGCATCAATATAATGTTTGATTTCACGGCTCGAACATGTGACTTTTTGTGATGTTTAGGCAAAGTAGACAAACTTTCTGTTTACAAAAGATAATTAATAACTTTTGTGATACTTAGATAAAGTTGAATAAGTAACATTTTTATTACAAAAAATAGTGTAATAACTTTAATGCAATAAAATAAAAATCAAGTGACCATCTAGGGGTGGCAAACGGGCGGGTCGGGTCGGATATGGATTGAGTCGAAAACAGGTAATGCAAAAACAGATAAATTATCCGACCCGACCCATATTTAATTTGGATAAAAAAGAGGTTAACCGTCGGATAATATGGATATCCATATTATCCATGACTTTTTGAATATGATCACTCTCGGGAGAATTCCTAGTTTCTCCAACTTGAGGAAACCCAATTTAGGCTTTACAAATATAAAAGTTAAACCCATTAGTTATCCATTTTCCAAATGAATAATATGATTCTTATCAATATTTAGACCCGTTTTTAATTAAAAATCTCATTATCCCACCTATTTTTTTAAAATAGCGGATAATATGGGTGGAAAAAAGGCATTTCACTTACGACGTTACGAAGGTCGGTAGGGAGGTGTTGAATGAGGAGAGCAAAGGTGCGAGAGACGTTGCGGAGAGTAGTATAGCAGAAGGCCCAGTGTGGCTGCAATGGTGTCCGCTTCTCGATGAGTTTTGCAGCTACCATGAGCTTCATCAATGGGTATACTTCATCCGGATGCCTCACAATCTCCGCCATTCTTCTACCTTTTTCTTCAGCCAAATATTGGACAGCAGTAGTACTGTTTCAGAAAAAGAAGTGTGATGATAAGTGCCAATGACAGTATATATAAGAATGAGAAAAAATGAGACTTTATGAGTTGGCGGATAATATATATATAATAATAAAGAAGTGATTTGATGTTTGAACAATATCTTAGTTGCGTGAAACTGTTACCACTACTATACATGAGCCAGAGGGGCCGAACGCTCAACAGGTTCGTCTAAACCTCTTTCGTCGAAAAATTATACTGTATTGTATATTAAGATTTTTTTAAAATGTATATATAATAGATGCTGAACCGGTTGATTGGGTTCTTTCCAACTTGCTATTCTCGTTTTCAGATTGTTCTTTGGGAGTTGAATATCAAGTCAAAAACACATTTCATGCATTTGTTCCATTTTATACATCATGCTTTTCTTTCTATTAATGTGTTTTTAAACAATGACATGCTAGATCTTATATATAGAGACAAGAGCTCTAACAGTATTATTTATTGCTATGTGTTAAGTTTTTCTTTCTTTTCAAACACCACATTTAAAATTAAATAGAATATAAAATAATAAAATATACATTCTAGTGAGTTAATGTTGAATTTTACTGTCGCTCTATAGTGATATTGGTTCTCTCTCTCCATATATATACTAGTTTTAGGATACGCGTGATGGGCGTGTACCTTATATATATGAGTACAACTTTTTAAAAATTTAATAAATAATATATTTAAGTTATAAAATAAAATTTAAAAAATATAAGCTCTTGAAATGCCAAATATTGATCATATTTAGTTAAAAAAATTACGGATGACCTAGCAAAGTGGAGAAACAATTCAGATAATTTTAGAAGTTTAATGATCTATCACGTACCCGCCTCTTTTATTTTAACATTGTATGAAAATGATTGTTTTAGGTACTGTATATTCTAGACAGGTAAACTAAAAAAAATCGCGACAGATAAATTATGTAGCTAAGAAAACTCCATCGCTTAATAAAAGATAACAACAAATTATCAAAAATCATATCCAATTCAAGATCATTAATTATAATATCCTTAATATCATTAACTGAATATAAATAAGAATAGAGATCACATTTTGATCTTCTTGCAACAATGCTACTAAATTTAGTCATTATCACCATCTGCTAAAAAACACGATCATTAAGAAGTTATGTATAGTTTATCAAATTTAATTTGTATTTAAAAAATTAGATAGAATAGAAGAAGTAGAAGTGGTTAAAAAAGAAAGTGGTCAACACCAGGTTACCTTTTTATGCTTGGAAGCGTTTCTTTTTATGTAGGAAAAGAAGTAAAAATTGCACGGGCCGTCCTATTTGGTCGCCCCCATTTAACCTATACCCATATTTTTAAAATTATTTAACCTATACCCTAAATTTTACAACTTCAGGTGCCTCCTTCTTCCTGCTACATGTGCGCTCCTTTCTTCATCCTTTCTTGATAGTAGTCTTCCAAGTTGGTGGGAGGCGAAACTCATGCCTCATCCAATCAGTTTTTGTGCCTTTCCTAGCACTTCCTCGATAATATACTAAACATTTTTGAGACCAATGATGCAATCGTGATTTTGTGATTTGGTAGTAGAATAAACAGGCTTGTCAATCCCAGTTGCTTTCCAGAATCCAAATCTTGTTACTCTATTTGCTCTTACACTGTTCTTGTATTTAATCTCTAAGAATGCTGAAGTTCAGCAAATATAAACAAAAACTTCAGCTCCTAGAATGCTGAAGTTCAGCAAATACAAAACAAACTTCAGCCCTGAAGTTCATCACAAACATAACAAATTAAAGCTTCAGCTAAAACATGCTGAAGTTCAGCAAATAGAGAACAAAACTTCAGCTACTAGAATGCTTAAGTTCAGCAATTACAAGCAAAAACTTTAGCCAACACTTGGTTCAGCAATTTTTGCTACTTCAGGCCCGTCTACTAGAATGCTGAAGTTTGCGTGATTGCCTTCGCTACTTCAGGCCCGTATGCCTGAAGTTATGCGAAAAGTGGGTACGCTTGCAATTTTTTTTTTTGCAAAACGGGTATAAGTTAAAACGTGGCCCAAAAAGCGGGTATAGATGCAAATCCCCCGGAAAAGAACAAATAATCCTAAATATTAGGCCTACTAACAAAATCTTGTACGAAATCGTGGAAGCAAATATTTAAATAATGATAGTTAATTACTAAAACTTAATGTAGCAATTCAATTTGAATGTCTTTATTAAAAACGTCTAAATTAGTTAAAATATATTGCTCCTATGCCTTTTTGAAATCTTGAAATTGTATTCAAATAAGGAAATGTTTTTAAAATCTTGAAATTGTATTTAAATAAGGAAATGTTTTATAGTAAAGTATTAGTTAATTTTTAAATCCTAAATATTAGGAAAACAATAAAATGACTATTTTGCCTAGTATGAATTCTATTTTAAAAGGGTAAAAAAGGCGAATGACATTTCGATAAGGGCTTTGTGCTTTTAATATAGTATAGATAGATATATGAGGTCTTTAATATCATCCACAATGTGTCCAATGCTAGGCTCGGGTCTTGTTGGAGCACGGCTCCCACATTGCTCTGCCTGTCTCCACATCTATTCAGTAAAAAAAAAGCTTCAAATGCTAGCCTCATTCCATAGTAGCCCAAGCTAGCTTCTACTAGTCCGGACTGAGAGTAGAGTCATTCCCGTTTGAATAAAAAAGATACGAAGTAGCTCGGTATCGGCTCTGTGTATTGGCGGAGGATGAAAAGATCTGTGCCTCCCCCCTGTTATTATGCCTCGCCCGCCCAGTCTAGTACTAGAGCACCCCGATTCAATACCTAGGAGTAGAAGAGAGAACTCCTCGATCCTCAATGTTGGCCTAACTAAGTTTGTTTTGATGATTGACAAAGGAACACACGCATGGACCAGGTCCATACACAGTGTACAAAGACACGGGCAGATTCAAGCACAAGGCATGCATGTGAAGGAGATAAGCTTAAGTGGTTATATCTAATATCACTACTAGAAATTTGGTCAAAATCGACCGCGGCCAACCGACCGACTTCGGTTGTTTTTTCAAAATATTTTATTTTTTTAGATTTTTTTGGCGCAAAATGCAGAAAACTATTTTAGCCTCCCCCGAAATTTATTTTTAAGAAACCGACCGAAGTCGGTCGATTTTTCATATAAAATAAATTAAAATTAATATTAAAAAAATGACCAAAATCGATCCGTTATATCAGTCAGTCATTTTAAAATACAATTCTATATTTTTAATAAAACCGACCGAAATCGGTTGGTAATTTTCGCGCGAAAATACAATTAAAGAGTATAAATAAATAAAAAGAAAGTCCTAAACCAAAATGTACTAATGGTCTAGTGGTAGAATAGAATACTGCCACAGTACTGACCTTGGTTCGATTCCCAGATGGTGCATTTTTTAATTGCAAATTTAAAAATACCGACCGACTTTGGTAGGTTTTTTCGTCAGATTTTTTTTTTGTCGTTTGTGCTAATTAATTGACCGACCGAAATCTGTCGGTATTTTTTACCGACCACCCTAATTTCGACTGATTAAAGTCGCTCGGAAATCGGTCATTTCTTCCAATTTTTCGACCGATTTCTGTCGATATTTGTGGACGGTTTTAGGCAGTTTTCTAGTTGTATATCTCATGAATGAAAATGTTGCATAATTGATAAGGAGCAGGACTCCTTACTCGAAGAGAACTCTATCCTAGATAAGGGAGGAGTTACAAGTTGAAGATAACTAGAACTCTTCCACCAAGGAAGAGTATATCACTAGAACTCTAGTTATTTCCTATTTTACTAACTCTATATATTTCAGGATGTTCCCATTTTACAGGTACACACAAACGCTGAAGTTAAATGAGAGTTGAGAGCAAAATAACAAGGCATTTTGCAAGCAATTCCTGTATGATTCAATTGTGCGAACCTGAAGCTACATGAACCAGATAGAAGAACTGGTTCCTGTTAATAGACTGTATTTGTAAAATAATTCTGGAAATATAAATGAATATAAATAGAAATGAACATAAACAGAAATGACATAAAACCAATTCGAGCCCACTGAATTCACAGTGTTTCCTTAAGGAATTTAATCCCCTCCTAGTACCCAAGGTTATGGATTATTTCCTCCCAGGATAGAACGAATTACACACTGGTGTAGTGGTACTTCAAACCCCAGCGTTTCAGCGAACACAAAGTTCGGTAGCAAATCACACTTACTTTTTGCTTTGTTTGATGCTAAAAGTATGCAGAAGAAGGAGAAGAAACTCAGAAAATCGTAGTGAAATTCTGAGCAGAATAGTGTTGTATTTATAGCCAAAGTTGGGCTGAAATCTGAAGAGGTGCAACTCTTCAGAATGGCTGTTTATGCAAAACGCCCACAGCATAAATGCCATTACATAAATGGCCATTTACTCAACAATAAAGAGGGAAAATAAAGAGGGTAGTTACTTTTCTGTTACCAAAACAGAAAAACGGATTGGATTTAATATTAATATTCTGTTATTAAAATAAATATTTAATAACATTTCTGTTAATATTTTACTATTAACAAATAAATTTAATATTCTGTTATTAAAATAAATATTTAATAACATTTCTGTTAATATTTTACTATTAACAAATAAATTTGCTCCAAAAAGTTAATCAATCAATTGACCGAAGCCGAAGCCGAAGCCGAAGCCGAAGCCGAGCCGAGCGAGCGACGACGACGACGGCGCGAGGCTTGCCTTCTTCTCAACTCTTTAAGAGCTAGAAGAAGAGCAATTGCTTATATACCCATAAAAAAACTCTTCCTCTTCCAATATGGGACAATGCCCATTTGCCACGGGGGGGGGGGGAACTTAAAATTTCACTCAAAAATTTTATTTCCCTCCATTTCCCATTCACCCTCTTTTAAGTATTTAATATATTAATTAAATACATCCAAAACCCAACATTTCCAAGTGTCTGTCTTTTATTCTAGTTTCATTGTAGTAGGCTTTTTGAGTTGTATCTTTCAGCTTTCTCTAGAAGCATTTGTACTAGGTACTCT